TCCTAAGGAACAGAAGAACCATCCAGCTGATTCTGGTCATCCTCGAGAAACATGAGAGATACTAATATGGCTGTTATTACAAACCACTAAATTTTGAGGTGGTTTATTACACAGCAATGGATAGCTGAAAATGTTACCTCTTTAACAAGTTTATATCTTCCTTCAATATTCTGAATAACGAAAGCAACATGTGAAAAGTAATGAATGCCATCTGACTTACTGGATAGACTAGCTTATTATATTAAAGTAGCAATGATCTCTGCTACAATACTGTTTTCCTAAAAATTATTTTTAATGACCAGAAGCCTAGTTATCCTGAGAAGAGCCAAAATGAAAATGACAGTGGAATTTAAAAAGCCTCATTAATCTGGAAAGAGTGCATGATCTAGAAGCAAAGGAACTTCGATCAGCTTGCTGAGTATCCTTTTGTGACTTTTTAAAAAACATACTTGTTGTTTTACACTTGAGATTTGATTTTGAGCTGAAGTGTCTAAAGAAATTAGCTCTTTATGGGCCAAGACACAAAAGAGGAGCAAAGTGCTAGGGACTGGGAGACATCAAGGAGTGTTTCCTGCTAGGGACTCTGCAACTGGCATTGAAGTTTAGGGAAATTGAATAGTAGTACTATTTCAGAAGGATGTTCTCTTTAATTATGATGAACATATTTTCCAAACCAGAAATTGGAAAATCTTCTTGGCAAACATATATGAGATTATGAAGACAATGGGACAGAATCATTAGGAAAAAAACATGAAAGCGCAGCCACAGAGATGGTAATGCAGGTGATGATAAACAATAGTTAAATAAAATGTGTATGATGCTTATCATATTCCAGGCACTATCCTAAGAATCAGGCGTTACCTTATTTAATAGTTACAAAAAGTCTATGATAAGTCCTATGTTAATCCCTATTTGACAAATGAGGAAATTGAGGCACAAGCCTTTTAGGTGGCAGAGCAAGCTATGAGGTCAGTCTTATTTTGGAATCCATACTCTTTACCAGCATATTATACTGCTTCTAAGTATGGTGTACAAGGTTAAGTATAAGACGATGAAGACTATAGTTCTTAAGTAATGGAAAAGAGTGATCACAGCTGATACAAGCTGATTGTGTGCAAAAGATTTTCAGAGCTTTATTAAATAGCAAGTAAGGTACCACCTGCCTATCCTACTCTCTTCTTCTCTGCAGACACTGATGTAAAACTTGGAGCTGCTATTTTGAAAGTGGCCTCTACGACCAGCTCCCTGGTTACCTAGGGGTGCTAAGGAAGGAGAATGTTGACATAGCATTGCCACTGCCCCTCAGGAGCTGGTCAAAAGAAGGGCCACACTCACAACCCTATCAGCTCGAGATCCCATGGGGAACATGATTTGTTCTTTGTGAAAATCCAGTGCTTTGTTCCCTCTGTCATATGTACTTGTTGTGTGTCAAAAATGAGGAAGAAGTGAGGCAGTATTTTTGGTGTCTGATAAGTTTCAGTGTACCCTGATTGTTAAGGACAATGCAAGATCTTCTCAACTACTTCTGTGCAAATGATAGCAGATTTCTAGCATGCATCAGGACCCAAAAAGGAGGACACAGCATACTGCACCTGGTTCAGCAACTGGTTTGATATTTTAGACAGAAATTAATTTTTAACCTATTAATTTTTTAAGCATTTAGACATATGTGTCACTCCATGACCTTCAGAACACTATGCCATTAGCCAATCTTAATATAGTCAGAATTAGAGGCCACCTTGAGGTGGTCCCCCAAGAACTTGGACATGAGGAAGATAACATTACACACTCAAAGTTAAATATAAGACTAACACAGGAAAGATCTGGACAGGCAAACCCAAATTCACCTGAAAGAAACAGGACTGTTCCCAGGCCAACAAAACTCACATTAAAAAGAAAGAATGTATTAAAATATCTATAGAAGAGGAGCTGGCCCCGTGGCCGAGTGGTTGAGTTCATGCGCTCTGCTGAAGGCAGCCCAGGGTTTCGTCGGTTCGAGTCCTGGGCGCAGACATGGCACCGATCGTTCGAGTCCTGGGTGCGGACATGGCACCGATCGTCGAGCCATGCTGGGGCGGCGTCCCACATGCCACAATTGGACGGACCCACAACTGAAAATATACAGCTATGTACCGGGGGGCCTTGGGGAGAAAAAGGAAAAAAATAAAATCTTAAAAAAAAAAATCTATAGAAGAGATTCTTATTCTTTTCAATCAAAAGAGGGTTAGTCATCCTGGAGGTGCAGAAAAAATGGAGATTTGCTGAGATAAGATTGGATGTAGCCATATACACAATACGAGCGGAAAGGATTCTCATCTTTTGGAGCAGGAGTATCTCTGGGACAATGACAAGGCCATCCTTGGTTTGGACATAGATGCAAGGAACGGAGAGAGTGAATTTAGTGTGTTTCTGTTCCTCGTTGGTAATATTATCCCTAATGGAAACTCTACATGGGACTATATTAGCCAGGGGACGTTAAATAATCATGACTCCCCTTGTTCTGACTGCATTAGAGGTGAGCAAACATCTGGCTATGGTTGACTTTCTATGTGAGTCTGTATGGGGAAGGTTGTAAATGAGGACCCAGAGGCCAAATTCAGACCAAAACACTTTTTCTTGTGTAATTAAAATAAATGTTCATAAATAGTTGTGGATATATAAAAGTTGGGAAAGTAGTTTTTAATCGATGTTGCTTCCCCTCCAAAAATAGCACGTTTTTATGAGATTAGGTTTAAATTTCTAGATGGTGGCTACTGCTGAGAGCCGAATAGCAGCTGCTCCCTTTAAACAGGATATTTAGATTCTATTTTACCAGAATCTTTACTATTCCCTGTCGTATTACACCCAGCTGTTTCACCAACTTAACTGCCAGTCCCCGCAGGCCTTTGAGTTTTTATCTTCTGAGCCTAGAGGGAAACTCTGTGATTACATAAGAATAAATTCTTCATATCTGTAATAATACCTCATGGCTAATGAATAAAGTGATGTGTAGCTTAGCCGTGATGATAATGCGGGCCTGAATCTTATGGTCTAGAGAGTTTTCTCTTTCTCAATGTAAATGATAAGTTATCATTCTTGTGACTAGCTCAGTGTTAGATATCTTTGGTTTAGTGAGATTCTGCCTCTAAGGACTTATTTATCTCTGGGCATAGAAAGAGCAAGGCTGACCTGTGTCGGCAGAGCATCTCATCCTAGAAAATGGAGAATAAGGCACTCCTGGATGAAGGCCATTCTGTCTTCTCCTAGATGACACAACTCCCACTTCTTCTCATTTTTGTATAGGAAAAGAACATCAAACCAAGACTCACTAGGAATTTGGCTCTGCATAGTTCATCGTTAAGTTGGTTGTGTGGCCATGAATAAATACCTTGGCTTTAACGTCATAAATGAAGTGAAAGAGTTGAACCAAAATCTCTCTGAATTTCCATCCTACTCTGGCATTATTTAACTCAACCATGGATACTCTAGCCTTCTTGAGTTCATATGCACATTATCTATATGATTTAGGTATGATTTAAATACTGTATGTGAACAATTTCACTAAACAAAAATTTCTGTGTTACTGCCATATTAGCATCTCTATTTATATCCAAACACAGAAGGTTAGATTTTGCATGCATTTCAGCAACATTTGGATATCTGATGACTTCTATAAACTGTTTTTAATCATTCAGTATCACAGAATTCAAACAAAAACAACAAAATAAGCACATCAAAACATGTTTGACTTGAACAAAAAAAGCAGGCAGCCAGGGACATGGGCACACTATGCAAAATAGTCCTGCATATATTACACTTTACATATTTATAACTGTGTAGCTCCAGCAATATTGGCAGTTAATGGAGTGTCAATGAGAGGGAAGCTGTCTCAAAGGCTTGTTTTTATTGGACAAAAGGAAAAAGAGCCAGGAAGCCTAGTTTTCTTTTTGCCAAATCAAGTTATCTAGGAGAGTAAGTCATCCATTTACTTTGGACAAGCCACATATGTTTCTATTTATCCAAGAGCCAACCCAGGAACAGCAGGATAGAGTCATCTTCATTTATGTCCAAGTTGAATCTAGCAAACAGCAGCAATATTTTCTATATAATTACTTTAGGAGTTACGGATGATGGTGATACATTTGACTGGCAAATTGCTACACACTAAAACAAACAAGCAAAAAAACAAAAACCAAAGGCTTAACATCTACACAGAATATATAATAATTTGTAAAAGAGCATGACAGAGGAGCCCGGGAAAAAATTAAAATCTTCTAACTCAAGTGAGATATGTGGATTTTTGGGTGGTGGGGTAGTGGTAGCAGCAAAAGAAAGAATGAAGTAAGGAAAAAAAAGAACATTTATTCAACATAAATGACATAAGGTATACATGTTTATGGACATTTATTTTCTACTATATATTTGACAGAATTGAAAGGAATAGAATATAGAATATAGAATATAGAAGAATGAGGTTATGGTTCCTCCTTTTGCAATACAGTTGAAGAAGACAAAGCATATACCATGGCTTTAAGTCTTAAATAATGTAATAATGTAAATATCATAGGGAAATGAAGAGAATAAGGTGAAAGTGTTATTCCTATGTGACACAGGATTCGTGGTAGAAATCTTTCCTGGTCAGGACTGGAGAAGCACTGAGTGAGGCTTAGGTTTAGTTCATGGTCCAAGAGGCAAAACTGTGGGGCACAGTTGGTGTCGTGGGCAGGAAATCCACTAAGTTACACCAAAACCAAATTATGGAAGAGTTCAGAGGCATGGTTGTTGGGAAGATCCAAAGATTAGTCACTAGGGGCAAAAAATGAGATAATTGAAGACAAAGAGTTCTGGGGTGATTCGGTTTTGAATTGGCATTACACCTCTGTGGCATAAAACTCTTTAAAATATGTGTCTGGGTGTGTCTTGCTATATTAGTCATCTATCAGTATTAATCATCTATTGCTATAGAACAAATTATCTCCCAAAACTTAGCAGCTTAAAAGAGCAATTATTTATCATCTCACAGTTTCTATGGATCAGGAATTTAAGAGATGCTTAGCTGGGTAGTTGGGCATAAGGTCTCTCATGAGGTTGAGCCAAGATGTCGACCACAGCTGCAGTCTTCTGAAGGCTTGTCTGTGGCTGGAAGAGCCGCTTCACTCACTCACATGGCTGTTGGCAGGAGATCTCAGTTCCTTGTCATATGGGCCACTACCTAGGGTTGCTTGAGTGTCAACTGGCAACTGGCTTTCTTAAAGTGAGTGATCTAAGAGAGAACAAGAGGAAGTCACAATGTCTTTTGTGTCCTAATAAGGGAAGTCACATGACAACACTTCTGCCACCTTCTACAGCCAAAGGAGAAGGGAATTAGGCTTCATTTTTTGAAGAGAGGAGTGTCAAAGAATCTTTGGACATATTTTAAAGCCACCAGTGTGATAAAGATATATGCCATCACCTGCAAGTGAATGGGAGTTATTGTCTAAGGCTTCTTGGATGAGATCTGTATCAATTGAGATCCTAGCAAGAAATAGATCATTTTAGGAAGGTTTAATAAAGGGATCATTTACAAAGATGCATTCAGGGTATGTGGAAGCCACAGAGAACAGCACATTACTATGAGGCTAATAACAACCAGGTCATTACCATCCTAAGGGGCTAAAGAACGGAGTACTTCCTGGAACCTGAAAGAAGCGAGTCCTGCAGAGAGAGCTGGCTTTGATTGAAGAATGCAGCCAGATCAAGATTACCTTATGGGAAGAAATCGGTGGAATAAATACCAGAACCTCACTGTCTTTGCTCTTGCCTTCCCATTTCTGCCAGGCCTCCACTTTGGCCAAACTTAACTGACAGCTAGAGGTCAAGGGAGCCTGTTAATTTAGTCCACCAGCCCTCTGGACAGAAGTCAGGGTGGAAGTGGATCTGGAAGGGCAGACAGAGGATCTCTTTCATAAGTTGAGAATTTAACTTGAAGGATGAATAATAAACAGAGCTATTGAGAGCTGGATCATATGTTGAGTGCAAAAGACAAGGATAAGCAAACATTTATGTGGGATTAGAAAAATGACTAACAGTTACCAAAACAGAAGTTATGTGGTATGGAGAGGCTGAAGTAGGCTGGACATGGCTACGGATGGAGCCACATAATGGAAGGTAGTGAGAGAGGTAGAGGTTTAGACTTTCTAGAAGAAGCAGCCCTTGACAGTTCTTCAACACAAGAGTGACGAGATAATAGAATGGGAGTGGAGGAGGAAAATCCAAGAGGCTTAGGTCTGTGTAGATATCAGGAATAAATATAATAATGTCAATAAAAATTTAGTTTTAAATAACTTTCCAGGTAAAATAAATCCTAAGTATTAATGGTCAAATAAATAAAAATGTGAATTTGTTGAAATGAGGTATCTACATTTACAGACTCATGCTTTCTACAATTTGCCAGAAGTGCAAGCAAGCAAGCAAGCCTACAATTATAAACATTTTAATCTAGAGCAATTATATTACATTGAAGTATGGGTCTAGGAATGAAAACAATGTTATAACAGAAATAAATCATGCCAAAATAGTCATCAGCTTTCTTCTGGAGATCTATTCTTTTGGGATAGCTATGTTTGGCTTGGGCACACTATTTATTCAAACGTCCATTTATGGTTTGAATACTTAGTAGGAAGTTCCTATGAAATTCATGGAGTCCTTCATCCTGATTTGATTTGCAGCACACAGAAATTTCATATCTACATGAGAGATTTCAGTGAAGATAAGCATATGTAATAATAAGAAACATTGGCTTTTATGCCATAGTTTAGAAAAAAATAAAAATATGACAGAGCTTAAAATGAATCCTGATTCAATCACACTCGTTCATTTAGCACAGCTGACCTGCTATCAATACAGTAATTCAGAGGGGGAAAGTAGCATTAAACATTTAGTGATTGCTGATACAGAGTGGGACATGTGAGAGATATATGACTGATTATGCTCAGTGACACTTTAATATTACATCTTATAGTAAAGTCTGGTTGACATGGCGAGATGTTAACCATAAATTTTCTAACTGCACTTACACACATTTAGAGTGTAGAGATAATTGATGTTAACAGAGATGACCCTGGAGCGCCCGCTGAGTTTAAAAAAGAAAAAAAAGGAGGCTATTACATTTTGAATGTGTGTCTTGTGTGTTTCAGGTTTTTTCGTACTACTTTGAAAATTACCAGTGCACTTAAGAGTGCTGTAACAATCAGTCAGGATAAGGAGTAAACTGTGATTCTTGCTCAAAACTTATGTAATAAACAAAATTGACTATTGATATTTTCAGGGCTTAATAGTTATGCAGGACTTTCCAGAAACTATATGCCTTACAGGCATGAACACTTAAAAAAAGACTCTGAAAAATATTACTCAATATAATGCTATTTACCTTTATCCACTCAAATTTTTGAGTATGTAGCAACTGCAAGTCATAGCAGAGTGTTGAAAAATACAAATATGTTCTCAGCACTGATGGAGCTTGTAAGCTAGCAGGTCTCACTTTTAATAAACATAATGATTAATTTACCACTGTGATAAGTGCTATAATAATGTGTACAGACGGTAAGAAAAACCAGCAATGACAGACTTGGCCTAGTCTAGTGGGTAGCGAACGTTAAGCTCTATTAGCATTAGTTTCCCAGCTAACACCTCTCTCTTTAATAGAAAATCAACACTTGAAACAAGGAAGATGGCACTAGCTACAGAACAAGTAAACAACCACTCATCAACATCTCTTTCCCAATTAACCTATTTTTTGAAATTGAAGTTCACCTCGTAGATGTTTGTGTGGCTGTGGGAGCCAATGAGAAAACAGGAAAGGTCTTTGGTGTGAGGGGAATCTAGCTACAGTGTTTTCGCAATGGCCCTTGAGAGACAGTAACCCCCAACCAGGTCTCTTTATCAAGAGTCAGAAGCGGAGGGCCCGGCCTGGTGGTGCAGCGGTTAAGTTCCCACATTCCACTTCTCCGCGGCCCGGGGTTCCCAGGTTCCGATCCCGGGTATGGACATGGCACTGCTTGGCAAAAGCCATGCTGTGGTAGGCATCCCACATAGAAAGTAGAGGAAGATGGGTATGGACGTTAGCTCAGGGCCAGTCTTCCTCAGCAAAAAGAGGAGGATTGGCAGTAGGTAGCTCAGGGCTAATCTTCCTCCAAAAAAAAAGGAGTCAGAAGTGGGAAAGAAAACAGATCTGAAGTCGTTTTATTCCACAGTTATGAACGACAATCTCAGTCCAATAGAATCTATGTCTTTAATGATTGATTCCACCTCTGTCCTGTGCTGCTGTTTGTCTTGTTGGAAAAGGAAGGAAAATAGACAGATGGTGGACTGAGGGTGTGGCAAGAGCCCTACACCCAAGTTAGCTGGGGCGAGCCCAAGAAGGGAAGTGCGAGAGCCTCTGGGGGTTAGAAAGATGCAAAGTATCATAGCCAAAGGAAAAAGGGGCCAAAATAAAATGCTTGGGACTCATTAGCAGAGTATTAGAACATCATCTTGCTCACAACACTCAATTACCCAAATTGTGATTGGACTATTTGAAAGTTTGGAAAATTAGTAATGCTATGTTATATATGTGTGTGTACATATGTGTTTGTAACACACACATAAACATATACACATATGATTTGAAATAATCTATTCAAGAGTGAAAATTATAGGAATAAAAAGGAAACAAATCAAAGAGGAAACACCCAAATAGCTGAAGGAAAGGAAAATGCTATCGTGTAAGCAACAGCTCTTCACCAGCAGCTGGGTAATAAAACAGCGCAGGTCAGAAAGAGGTCACCCAGACACTGTCTGACCGGCCTGAGCCTCGATCCTCCCACAGGCCTCATCTCATTCTCAGCCTAGATTTTCCCGCAAATCATGGTAATTGGGAATCAGCTCACACAGCTGTGAACCACAGCTCACAGACACAGAGGGAACAAATTTAAAGTTGAGCATCTCTGCTGGAGAGAGCAGGGAAGTGACTTGTTTATGTACCATTTCATCACTCTCCCCAAGAGACACTAGCCCTGGGTTTATGTTCCATTAAAGGTGTAGTGACATGGTTTTAAAGCAAGTAGAAGATTGGCCTGTTATTAGAATTAGGGAATTTGGATTCAATTCTAAGTTAAAATCATGAAATGTTAGTGCTGCAGGAAGCTAGGTATAATCTAATCCAATTTTCTCTTTCTATAGGTGAAAGTCCTTTGACCTAGAGATGTTAAACGATTTGCCAAGTTGGTTGATGACAGCTTCTGGACTAGAATCACCAGTAGCCTGTATTACTACTTCTATTGTGTTATTCCTCCACTCAGGAAAAATATCCCTGGAGCCTTGAGGCTTATGCCAATAGACTGTAGCAATCTCCTTTCCTCCCTCCATGTGCCCATTATTTATTAAGTTCAAGGTTTTCCTATATCCATCGAGAACTCTGTCATGGTTTATCATTTTTCTTTTGCCATCCTCATTCCTGTTCTCATCCAGATGATTTCAATAACCATATAGATTGTTAATGCAATTTGTTAAAGTCAGACTTTCCATCTTTTACTTTCTTTGTCTTCACTTTCTTTCAACAATCAACTCTCATGATCCCATCCTGAACCATTTGTTTCCCAGAACTACATCATGTTTGAAGTCACAAAAGCTAATATCTTAATCTCTGATTATAACTCCTTTTCTTCCAGATCACACATCGTTATTCCATCAACATTAGTTACAGGATAAGCTATTGAAACAGTGAGACCCCACATCCAGTGGCTCTTCCTCATGTAACAGTTCAGAAGTGAGTGGTCCAACCAGGCAGATGACTCTTTCTACAAGGTCATCAAGGGACCTAAGTTCCTTCTACCTTGTAGTTCTGCCCCCATCTTGTGGGCTGTCTTGTTTGAAGCTGGTTTACGACTATGATATATACTTTCCAGCAAGTGGAAAGAAGAGAGAGAATGAAGGACTAGCAGCTTTCTTATTAAAGCACGTGACCTAAAAGTTGCACATATTCTTTACACCCACATCCTATTGGTTAAAGCTTAGTCACATGGCCATACCCAGTGTCTTAGTCCATTTGGGCATCTATCACAAAATACCATAGATTGAGTGGCTTATAAACAACAGAAATTTATTGCTCAGAGTTCTGGAGGTTGGGAAGTCCAAGATCAAAGTGCCAGTAGATTTGGTGTCTGGTGAGAACCCACTTCCTGGTTCACAGATGGCTGTTTTCTTGCTGTGCTCTCACATGGTGGAAGG